TCCCTCGCCTGCTACTGCCTCCCTCGCCTGCTACTGCCTCCCTCGCCTGCTACTGCCTCCCTCGCCTGCTACTGCTAAGCTCGTCTGTTACTGTATCTATGGTTAGCTTTTTCTTCCGTGTTCATCTCCAAGACATTAAAAATTTGCTCAGAAATTGACGATTGCTGTCTCATCCCCCAGCACCACGACACAGCTCTCGTCTCCATGTCAATTACAGCACTACAAAGTCGTGAGCAAAGCGACAGCCACGACATAAACCGTGGATGAACTTACGTCGTATGCCGAGATAATATTTATATCATACGCCAAAGGTACTTAAAGCATAAGACAATATTATACGAGGCAACATCAAAGTGCGATTGTTGCAAATAACCTCATCAAAATTGTGAATAATTTTCCAGTAATGTTCATTTATGCTGGTTGATTAAGACAATCATGCTGCATTTGTTTTTTGATGATCCCTGTTGAACTCGTTGTTTATCAGACCAGATTCGAGATATTCCGGCAAATGAGCGCCGTGTCACATGTAATCAGCACTTCTATCACGAGATACACGTGCTATTCAATCGTCCACAATGACGATATCACAATACAATAGTCATTGAATCGATTAAACGAACACAATGCAATCCTGTATTGTGAAAGTTCAATAAAAATTGCGAATACACGAATACATGATTGCCTCTGAAGGATTAAAGCTTATCGTAGTATCCCGTAAGATCTCACTCAAATCAGCCCCGGCAGAAAAGAATACTGAATGAAGACAAGAGTGGGCGGTCTGGAAAGCTGAATCGAGATCCTCTATAGCGACTATAGTAAACGATACGCAATGGATAAAAAGATCGAGATCCTCTACAGCGACTATAGTAAACGATACGCAATGGATAAAAGGATCGAGATCCTCTATAGCCACTAGTAAGCGATATGCTACGGATAAAAGGATCGAGATCCTCTATAGCGACTAGTAAGCGATACGCTATGGATAAAAGGATCGAGATCCTCTATAGCGACTAGTTAGCGATACGCTATGGATAAAAGGATCGAGATCCTCTATAGCGACTAGTTAGCGATACGCTCTGGATAAAAGGATCGAGATCCTCTACAGCGAGTAGTAAGCGATACGCTATGGATAAAAGGATCGAGATCCTCTATAGCGACTAGTTAGCGATACGCTCTGGATAAAAGGTTACTTGACTAGCACGACGGTGGAGAGCTAATGATTGGAGGCGCTTATATTAGCCACGCATGCGGGCGCCGGCGTCAGCGTTTTGTACACTGGAGTCGTGTTGGCGCCAACCGAATCAGTGGCGGAAGAACGATTTCTAAGAACATATTTTAATGGACGATATAAAATTTAAATGCGCGTCTCATTCTTTTCAATTGTATAGTCAATTTCATCTCGTCTGTGCTTTAGTTTCCAAGGCATATTTTGAAGTGAAAGCAACCGTAGCTCCATAATCTGCTCTAAATTCCTCCCTTTTATTACGCCCCTTCAGACAGTAATTAGAAGCCAGTTAAGAGTGAACTCAGCTTGAAATCGGCAATTAAGAAAGTGATTAAATTAATAGTCAGTGTTTATGAGTTTATCAAAATAACAAACAAATGCAGAGCAAAAACAGGTGCATGAGGGGGAGAACTATCTCAAAATAATTAGCACCGTAAAATACACAAACCCAACAAGCCTGCACTAATTTATTAATAGTGCATAGCCAGTTTGTTAGCATTAGCGGCCCAGCAGCCTGTGGTCCGCAATTTGTTCTGGTCTGCGAGCCAGACCCTCTAACGAGCCTGTGGCATGAGGCGGTCCAGACCCTGCCGAGCCGGCCTTGCCTTCAGCTTTTGTAAATTAGTGATGAATTATTGGACTATAAATATCTTTCTAACCAATTTTCCATAAACCCTAACAATGTCAACTGAAAAGAAGTCTCATTTGTAAATAAGGGTCAACAATTGCGAACCAATTCCTTGTTAAATCAAGGTAATGAGCCCGCAAAATTCAGCGTATCATCTAATTTACGAGTTAACAATCCTAGAAAATAAAACAATAAGACATATATCCGAAAACAAATAATAATAATGTTATAGTTTGTAGCATCATATCAGAAGAAAATGCAATATTATTCAAAGTTTCGACGAGTCTAATTGGGACTTGAACTGCATTTACAATGATAAAATGGATCTTTACAGACTGGGAAGGATGAGTGGAATATTCAAGAAATTTTCAACTGTAAATGAGAAGCCTTTGAAGATCACAATATTCCGTCGGCTTAAAATTCAACATTAGTTTGAGTTTCCGTTTATATATAAGTGTAATTAAAAACTCATCAGCAGTCGTTATCATCACTGTAAAGTGTAAATTTCATCATTTGGATGCAAGCATCAGCCACTTATGATAACACGCGCAACCCTCATCTCACCAGTAAAAATCACGAACGGTAAACATGGCCGAAAATATGATTTATTTTGAAATCGGGATGAAGATGGGAATAATATCGACGTTATCACTAAGAATTATCAAAAAATTATTATTCGCTTGTTAGCAGTGAGATGCATTCACCTCGACACAGCGTGAACAACACACCACCTCTTCACATCACTGCCGTTCGTGACACACTGGCAGTTGGGCACATTCAGGCCTCGTCAAGATCTGTCTCATGGGTATAGCACTACGCTGCCGCGCTTACGTCATACGCAATGCAACGGAGAATACTGTACGACAACTGCACAAACTTCACGTCAGCGAGCCAACTTATTGTTTGGACATTTATTTCCAAAAATTCAACTCACATTTGTTTCACCAGACGAAGATAGATGAAGTTTTCTTGGACAAAAACTTTCATTCCACATATACAAATCATAACTGAAATAAATGGAAAGTTCTATAACATTACAGTCACATCCTCTACTTCTATCGCGAAAAATTATCCGTGCAAGATTTCAAGGCTTACGAATTTATCATAATTAGCATATTATCAGAATTGAAGTACTGGGCCTGAATTAAAATAAGAACCTCGATCAGTGACTCCGCCAAGAGCAACCTGGTTCATGTTGTCATGGAATATCAGCCGTCATCAATATACAAATAATTTTATGTGTGTTATACATACATATACATGGACAAAGTAAAATGTTTGAGTAATGTATCCATAAAAAGTCAGCATTAGGAAAATTAATTATTTATTTAAGCAATTATCAATTAATTATTATTATTTCTGATGTGGATACTCTTCTGAGTCGAGCTTTATTTAACACCAGACAAAATTAGCCAACAAATACGGGAAAGTTCCTTCAACAGTCTTACAGATCGTGTCAAAATATGCGAGAAATTGTACGTCTCGTTCCTGCAAGAACAAGGCTTCGGTCACCGTCAAGGGAGGTGAGCGAAGAGGTTTTATTGTAATTCAATAATGAATAATACCGTTTTGATGCGTTCTTTGATATAATTATTGAAATAGAGGTGGGTGAGAAAGTTCTACGACATTAAACTTTATGAGCTCGTCACTCGCCTGCTTTGAGAGAATTAAATATTATCCTCAAGTTCTTTAACGAAGGCCTTAGTTCGAGCCAGGAATCAAATTTTACAAAATGAGATATACATATTCCCGCCACTCTTTTCAAGGTTTCATCGACCGGATGCAAACCCGAAAAGTTTAATAAGATGGAATAAAAAACTTGAATGCGAGAATTTCAGGAATTGATTTTGGCCTTGGAAACTCAGGACTTCCGGGTAACAAGTGGCTGTTGGGAGCGTGTGAGCTTCACAAGAAAGAGAGAAACCAAACGCAACGAGCAACTGAAGAACAACCGGAGAAGAGAGCAACTGAAGAACAACCGGAGAAGAGAGCAACTGTAGAACAACCGGTGAAGAGAGCAACTGAAGAACAACCGGAGAAGAGAGCAACTGAAGAACAACCGGTGGAGAGAGCAACTGAAGAACAACCGGTGGAGAGAGCAACTGAAGAACAACCGGTGAATAGAGCAACTGAAGAACAGCCGGTGAATAGAGCAACTGAAGAACCACCGGTGGAGAGAACAACTGAAGAACAACCGGTGGAGAGAGCAACTGAAGAACAACCGGTGAATAGAGCAACTGAAGAACAACCGGTGGAGAGAGCAACTGAAGAACAACCGGTGGAGAGAGCAACTGAAGAACAACCGATGAAGAGAGCAACTGAAGAACAACCGATGAAGAGAGCAACTGAAGAACAACCGATGATGAGAGCAACTGTAGAACAACCGATGAAAAGAGCAGCTGAAGAACAACCGGCGAAGAGACTAGAGAGCAACTGAAGAACAACCGGTGAAGTTTCTGTTTTTGAGTATGTTACTTTCCTCTGCCCTACAAAACTTCAAATATTAGAGGCTAATTGGAGGAAAATGATGTTAATACCTTGTCCGAAAGTAGGTGCAAATAAATACTTAAGCTTTGTTCGATCATGACGGTAAATTGGTTTATTTTTTAAATACTCTTTGTTTCATAACTCAGGCTCTATGCTTACTTATATCTCATGATAACTATGAATTAAAAGCCCAAAAAAATATCTAGAAAATTCACCATATTTCCACTGAAAAGTTCTATCTGTGTTCATCATCAGCTTCATCATCTGCTGACTAATACCAAAACAAAAGTTTAATAAATTTCGCTACAAAATGTCGCACACTGAGAGTGACGACGATGGATATCACCGCAGCAAAACTTAAATATATTATTAACCTCGTGCGCGCAAAATTGGAAAATTTGTTAATTCACTTAATTTCTAATTGCTTTCATGAGTTAGCTTACGAGACAATGATTAGAGTAACTGATATCATCCCTATGCTTCTAATTATGAGACGGTATAAAGCAGGAATAATGTTCGGCTGAAGTTAATCAGACAACTTCGTAGATCGAATAAGCAATGACTGTTGAGGTACTTACCTAGGTCTATGCAGATATTTTGAACAAAGATCAACACGATATTAAACCATTTAGAGTGGAATGGCAAGACATTTATACTCACACAGATCAGACGAAACTATGCGCCGGTAGCGATCCCGGTATAAATTAGAAGACGGCAACGGCATGGATCTGAAATTCAATAATGTTAAATAACATTTGCGTTAATGTTCGTTACATTTAAATGTCGGTGATGGTAGTTTTTAACCTATTGCCAAAAAAATAGAATTACAATGCAAATGTTAATTAATTGCTACCTGATATCAAATTAATAGCTCATTCACGATCGTATTTACCACACATAAAATACAAGAGATCATCCTACGGACGATATCCCGGGATGTTGACCTGCGGTATGCAGCGCGGTGGTGGCGGTGGGGGCTCTGACGGCGCTTTATCTCGTCCTGGATGCGGCCTACAGAAGAGCGGTCAGCGAGGCGCGATCCTGCAATAAATTTACTTGATTCAGTGTCCAAATCGTGAGAAATTTTTATTCTATTATTTTCTCATAGCCGGTATTTTTACTTAAATGAGATTTTTTTAATTCTGTAATTGAAATTTTCAAGTTTGCTGCAGAAATTACAATTCAGTACGTTTACAATTTTACATGAATGCTAAAATGAACAATTAATCAGAAAAAAATAAGTCCGGCACGATTGAAATTCATTTCTGAAAAATGTTTTCATTGTTGCTGTGCAGCCAACAAGAAATTGAGATGCAAATAAATAAATTTTGAACCATGTGCAGAAAGTTTTAAGAAAACAGTTTTTGGTGAAAAGAAGGTTTTCTCAACAGTCGAACATTTTTCACATACCCATAAATTTTATGGCGTTTGGCTCGGCGTTCTCTTTGTTGGCACTTCGGTTGTTGGAGGCGCTAAGAACGAAACCTTCTTTTTTAAACGAGTCCTCATCAGCGACGTCTTCTTGCTCCATAGCAACAGCTTTACTATCGAACAAACCTGCGCTCAAACTTTTCTCTAATTCCATGACCAGTTTTTCGGGCATCACCGGGCATTCGTTTTCGTCAGGTTCTGAAGGAACACTTCCATGCTGGGAGTCTTTATTCGTCAGCTCGCAGCCTCCAGACAAGCATCGGTCGAAGGATTGCGTGGTGAGGAATTTGGCATCTCTGGAAAATTTCTTCAGAGAGTCTGACGAGAGTGATTGAGGACACATCGACGTGATATTATTATTAAAATTAGTATTATTATTACATATCTGCTCATCAAGACTCGACGACTGCTTCATGGTCACAGCAACGTTAACGCCTTCCTTGAGATGTTCTCGCTGCTTGCGGAAGTGCTTCAGTTTGCGACTCTGTGATGATATTTCATCTCGGCCATTCGACAGGACGGCGTCTTCCATCTTCGTCTCAGTTTCTGTGATCTTCACGTCAATATCGACGTTCAAATTATGCCAATGTGATGAATTAATTTCCTTGGAGGTCATTAACGGATCGTTGTTGGCGTTAATTTCGTCAACATTGGCAGCATTAGCTTGCTTAGAAGCGGCGATGGTCGAGGCTATTGTAAAGTGGGTGATATCAGGCTGGTGTTCATCGATAATGATATCTTCTGTCGGACTCCGAATTAGTTTTCGTTCACTCAGCGGACTCAGTCTTGAGTCAGGTCGGGAATAATATCCAATAGATGATGCCTCGGAGTCCTCGTTTGAATTATTTTCAAATGAAAAATGCTTGCCCTGCTGAAAATACGAACTTTGGTTCGAGCCACTCTCAGATAAAGCCAGTAATGAAAGATTCTCCAAGTCGTCCAAGTTATCGTTCTGATCGTTCCAGTCGTTGTCGCACAGGGCGAGGGCTGAGTCCGGTCTGGTGGGGTTTGGGGCTTTGTAAAGATTGCAGGAAGTCAGCTTGGACAAACCCAAGCAATTGTCTGCGGCAGATTAGAAAGAGTCGTATAAGTATTTTTGAACTCAGAGCATTATATTTAATATAATGAATATTAATGGGCTTAATGAAAATAAAGGAAATAAATTGGTCTGAATTTACAAAATAAATTCTCGATTGTCCGAAATATAATGTAATCACACCACAATTAAAGCAAAGGAGCATCTACATTCACGTTTAAAAAATATAGAACGAATTTACTGATCATGAAAATTTTTAAAATGTGGTAATGCTTTGGATTACCGCAGAATTTGAGAAGAATAAAATGCTTATGGCATTCTGACAATTGGGTTGATAATAATCAACAGAATTCTAAGTTCATTCATTGTACCGAAGCATCGCAAATCCATCAGAAAATCCTCGTCCACTTCTCAAAACTTGAGAAGGCTAACTAACTTGCAAGCAGACCTCAACACCTCAGTTGAAATCATTTAAGAATGAGCAGAGTTAAGAGGTAAAAAGTAAATTATTTTGATTGAGCAGAGTTAAGAGGTAAAAAGTAAATTATTTAAGAATGAGCAGAGTTAAGAGTTAAATAGTTACAGCAACTCACCTGGTGGTTGGCATGCAAGATGTACGGCTGGCGAGGCCAACATATCATCGACGTTGTTACGTCTTGGTTCTTAAAGTTTATATTTTCGATTGGATATTTTCATTGAATTTTTGATGCGTGAATTGTAGCGAATTACGATGAAAGACGAGAACTCCGCTCTGCTGTAACTATAGGAAGAGTCCACGCGTCTCCGTTAGCTTTACTTGCTTCCGAACACCTCCAGTTCCTCACTGTGAACGAAAAAAGAATCAAATTAGATCGTGAAAATTTCTAAAAAAAATTACTTGTACCTTTGTATAAACGACTTGAAATCCTGGTTGTTCATGGCCTCTCTAGAAGTAGAAGTAAGCCGTAAACAAATATCTTTGAGTAAATCTACTCTAGACATGCCAAACTCATGAGGACCTGAGTAAACATTGCCTCCTCGATATTGCTCGTCGTCGGCCATGTATGAAGACGCCATATTTAAGCGTCTGCAACGCCATCATACTCTGTTTTGACCATTTTGAATTTGTGAGCCCTAATAGAGCACTTTTGCTTTTATCTCGCATTAATGGAGGAAACGTTAAAGGTGAACCAACTCTACATCGGTTCAACTTTAAAGAAAATCTTATTAATCTTATTTTTATTTTTATTAATATTATTGGTGAATCAACTCTAAATCGGTTCAACTTTAAAGAAAATCTTATTAGAGATATCGTTCCTACATCACCGTCCTCCGCCGCCAGCACCTATACAGGGAATGTCAGATCGTATAATGATTGTACCTAAAAGTGCATACCATTTCGACACACGTTCTTCCAGCAGAAATTTGCGATAGTCTCTGGACGCAATCAAACTTTAACAATAACTTGTGAGAAAGAATTATAGGATTAAGGGATTTCTTCGTTCATAATTAAGAGCAGGAAAAATCAGCCACGCACAAAGCTTATAGGTTGAGGACTTCAAGACATGCGCCTAGGCACACACTGTATTTCCCTTCATCAGAAAATGCGTTCTTTTATGCGAATATCAGCTCAAAAATTCAGGCGTGTTGAACTGCATCGTACTTGCATGATATTATGGTTGGTAAACCACAGAAGAAAGAAATAAATAAATACATTGCAAAAGAAAAGTGACTTGAAGATTTCTTCCATCTATCTATCATAAAATAATTGTTGGCAAATTAAATCTCAGGTTCTTCATAAACAAACATTCTGAAAATTTAATCGCATTTTTCTGAATTTGTTCAGAAATTTCGAATTTACAACCAAATTTACGTATATATGAGAAGTACTGCCGATAACTCCACGAAACGATCCAATCCCGTTATAAATAAAGGGTGACTGCGACGGCTGTCGTCCACATTTAGAACTTCCGAGCTACTACATAAACCGTGATAAACGTCAAAACTCGTCCAACATATTCGACGAGACGCACTTAACATCTATAAATAATTTTTTCCTCTTGTTCACGGCGGAATTTCAGGAGTAAATCCATCCTTCTCCGTCGAAGAGGAAAATATTTTCCTTTGCAGAATTCCTGGTCTTGACGAAAACCGCTAATAAATTTCAAGAATTGTGTGCTGAACTTCTTAATGTTTTGAATTACTTGTGGTTGTGCAGTGAGCATCATTCAGTTTTTCACACTATTAGTGGAATAAAAATAAAAGTAAAATCTTACTTGTATAAATAATAAATAACTGTAATGAACTATGTAGCTTTGCCAAATAATTGGCAAGTCTACATTGGCAACCATGGAAATAAATTTTTTAGATATTTTGGCAGCCAATGTCTTTTGCCAATAAATAACTGCTTCGGTAAAATTCCTGCCATTGGACCGACTACCGCCGACGACATTTGAGCCAAATTGTGACAGACAGAAGGCCTTGTCGAGCTAAATTGATGAAGCGGATCTGCCGTCTTCCATTCCAGGAAATCTTCACCGGTCGTTCTTGTGAAAATAAATGAGGACGAATTGACCCGCTCACCTTAAACATTTGCTCGATAAGTATATAGATAAATTATTTTTTATATAAAAATAACAAAAATTTATTACGCTTTCATTAGGAACGCACAGAACACCGTCGCCATCGCTGTTACCCAATAGATTGCGAGCTTTCAAATTATAAATAGCCTACTTCCGTTCCTGAACTGAACATGGAGCTTGCCTCCGAAACATCTCAATAAATAAGATGAATATTATTCAGCATATTATTTACCATTCAATTTAAAATTTTGGTCGACACTTCAAGTTACATAGCGTATTTTTTGTCCCTCCATATCCTATTCAATATTTAGGTGATTAAACTTAATCAGAGCTTCTATACATTACACATCTATTTACTAGTTGTGTGTGAAAATGTAGAAATCTATTTTCACGTTAGGTGGATGCATTTCACTGAATCCTAACTAATATACATTTAATTCACGTTGCAATATATATATTATATGGCCCCATATTACATTCTCACTCAGATTACTCCACATCAAATTAGTCACACATTTATTCCTCGATTCAATGGAAAGAAATCGTACCTCCAGCTCACCATCACCGTGCCGTGTTGTAGAGCGCTGTGCTCAGAGCAGCTCTGTCATCGCAGTCTTCACAAAACCCTGTCTTCAGGGTCAACAATTTCCTGCATGAGGATGCCTTGTATGCACGACGCCAGGCACATCACAACACCGCCCACCACGACGATAAACAAGCAAATTAGTCCCATTTCAACGTACGTCATGGCGGCTTGTTGATGAACTACACCAAAATTAACAGGTACGTAGGCATAACTTACAGAGCGTAATTATCGAAGAGCGACGAGATTATTTGATAACCAAATATCTACTTGCCACTTCTAAGGCAAGATGTGAAATTAACATCAGGGATGATATTTTTCATGTCAAAAACACCTAACTCGTACCACCAACTATATAGTATGAAATTGTAGCAAGAATTGTAGCAAGAATTGTAGCAAGAATGTAGTAGAATGTTACCATTCATCGCATGGACCTTTCTGTCTGAAAATCATGCAAATTCATTACAAATTATTCTTACCCATAAATTTTGCCATTTTGCTAACAACAAAATGAGTTCAAGACCACATAAAAACACCGTGAAGCCATCACGTCTGCACTCTTTCATCCTTCTTTCCAACGAATAAAACCTGCACACTTGTCGGCCACATCACAGCACTTACTTATTTTTTATCAACAAATAAAAAACACACGCTTGCACCAAGCCAGCCACTTACTGGCACTGAATATTATTTTTATCAACAAATAGAAGTCACATCTTGCACCCGTCAGGTTCATTACCTAACGCAGCCCGCAGCCCACGACCGGACTGGCTCAGCTGCAGTGATTGAATGCGCGGAATCGTAATTCGAAGTAGGTCCTCATTTCGGTCCAGAGTCCACGGCTGCTGCAGACCGGGGCCAATCTCCGTCTTATAAGGAAAAATCCAAGTCCTGAGACGCTCAAGTCCAAAGACTAACGACGACTTTCGTCAGGCGAATCTTAGAAATGAAGGGCGAAAAATGAGACGCACTTTCCTCTTTTGCAGAAGTTGGCGTATTTTAGCGAGACTAGCGTTCTTTTCGGTGTTCTTTTAGGAGTTTTAATCTGTCAGCCTGAAGCGTGTCTCCGCACTGCGGTCGAACGAGATCATTTTTATGGCTTCCAATTTCCTGCTAGAGACGAAATAGTTATTCCTTATTTATGTATTGAAACCTCTGATCGTCCCTCAGCGTCCAACAAATATAACTGCAGAGAACCGGTCCCAATCGGACATCATACAAATCTTTCGCTTAAACATTTCTTGAAGTCTGATCAGCCGTTGTTATGAACTTTATCTGGCAGCTAATATTTTCTTTTGACATGTCTTCTTTATGATAGGGCAACATGGGGCAGCGCGCCCTCCCCCCTTTTTTTAAACTGAATTTTTGATGAAGTTTTAATTGATACGAGGTGGTTCTTTGTTTTGTTTAAAGGTACAACTAATGAGTAATGTATGATGTGAATTAGACGCCTATATGTTTATTCAATTTTTAATGAAACACCATTTTGTAAAAAGTGTCAAAATGGGCCCATTGCCCCACCCCTGGGGTAATGGGCCCATGGGCTTGGGGCAAGGCGCCCACCCTTGGACCCTTGACTACAAATGCATATTTTTCGTTTAAAAATGAAAAAACAACACTTTACAGTTAAAAATAAGAAAATGTAATAAAAAATATGACATTCACTCATTTATTACCAACTCAAAAAATCATATACTTAACTTGAAAAAAATATACTCTTAGCTTAAAAAATCTATCACTGACGTGAAGAAAAATATTTCATTGACATAAAATATATATCCTTGACTTGAAAAATATATCCTTTCGGTGAAAAATTCGTCCTTGACATGAAAAAAATGTATCCTTGACTAGAAAAAATATATTTAGTTGATCAGAAAAAAATTTCGTTCCAGTTTCGTCCATAATCCAGATATTATGTGCAGAGAATTCGTATTCAATCGTGATTTCAGCCAACACCATAAAAACTCATCAACTTTTGGCTCATTGGAGTTGACTGAAATCAACTTTTGGCAAGGCAATTGTCAATAACTCGATAAGTCGATAAGGGGTCATAAATACGCTTAACTAGAAAATAAACCTGCTGCCTTTTGGCGGCAAATCAAAAAATCATTCAATATGAAGTGTAATTTGTAATTCAAAAAGCTAGTCATAGTTTGAAAAGGTCATTGAGACAAATCTAATGATGTATAACACAAGACTTCACAATGGGCGCTTTGCCCCGTGACACGCGTGGGCCCGTTGCCCCACTAGGTATCATTTCAATTTATATCGTATCAACATTTTATTTTAAAAGCGAATAGTCTAAACTTGATCTCAAAATTATCCCTATAAATATTACTTTGAAAATATAATTCACACTAATTTCAAAAGCATCATCTGCAGTAATCGAAAAAAATTTTACGTAGCAGCAGAAAAATTTTTATCTGGACTAAAACAGTTATTCATAAATAACTTAATAACGCAAACACTTAGCAAAACGTAAATCCGTACACTTCATCCCAGTGAAACTGTCGACCGGCGGTAGAGAACACGGACCAATATCTGCCATACTTAGCGAGAAACCCGCTATGGGCCCATGACCCGCAGTGGGCTCGCTGCCCCATGTTAGCCTACCAACAAATGTACAAAGATAAAAAAAAAATTATGATGAAGGCAACGCAATTTAAAATGTTTCAAGCAGTGAAAATCGTTGCATGGACTTTTATAGAGAATTATTTCTAAAAAAATAAAACCGATCACTTTAATTTGTTCAGTTATTAGAACACGAATAAAAAACATGTAAAATTTATGAAAAATTCACGTTTCAACGCCAAGCAGCGTTTTCGTGCGTATTTGGCTTTAAAGCTATGAAAGCAACTGACGGGCATTTAAATTCTTGTTTGTTATCGACTTTAATGTGAAAATTCGGTCATTTGGCCCCGAAACGTGCAAAGAAACTATCGCAAAAAATTCTGAATAAAGTCTGTTGAGGACTTCAGTTTCTTTTTCTGGGGCAGCATAGGTAATTTCAAATGTGCTTCCGGGACTTGAATTCCCTTGAGCCTCTGTAATAGCCCGTTACCAGAAGTCGAGGTCACCTGGATATTGCCTTATACTCGTATCACGGAAACATGTTTTTTCTGTCAATGTTTATTAGTGGCCTATGGAGACTTGTCCAATGCAGCGCCATGGAAACATGCTATCCCATTTGCCAACCTTGTCGTATTACCGATTACGCTTGAGTATCCCAAAATAACTTTGAGCATGAAGATTTTGTATAAAGATAACCTAACCTCCGCTACTGGTATTTTAAAAATACAAATGCATGTAAATAAACTATTGTCTCATATACCAAAAGTTTTATCCATAATTCGATATCTGTAGGTCCCTCCAAAAAGTTGTGGGAGACAAAACTGCTCTGCATTAATACTCATTCGTGTTCACAAATAACACTTTATTTAGCCACGCTGAAGTCAAACCGAGTTTTAAGCGAAGCTATAGTTGCAGTATCTGTTCAAAACGTCAATTTAAGCAAATCGCATCTTTCAGCCTAAGGACGCTACATCGCAAGAGTTTTCACGTCAGCTTTTTAATTCTGATTCCTTTGATTTGTTGACGATAATGCGATCATCGTTCCTTGACATGAATCGTATCAGTGATTGTGCGTCATCAGCAACGTCGGCTGCGACGTCCTGATTGTGGCACGTCCACAAAACCCCACGACGTGATTCAATAATGGCGACCTAGACTGGCAGAATTTGACCATATATAGCAATATATTTTGCTCACAAAAGATATTTATCAACATATTTTACTGCTTTCAATTTCGAGGTTTGATATTTTTTGGTGAATTGAAATTACATTTCAAGAAATTTTATAACCGATGAAGAAATAGCGATAGATAGGACATCCGATGTTTAGTCCGATAGTTTATAAGCAAATTTTAAACTAGTTGACAACTCTAGTGTGTGGATACTCGTACAAATGTAACGATCCATTTGAGATCAGTTAAGCTACAAGTTTAAAAAAAAATATCTTCCTGTTAAGAATTTGTAGCGAGCAGTTGTATCAATTGACCAAATAATTTAAAATCCTCAAGTACCAAATGAACTTGTATTTAAACCAAATGGATGTACCCTATAATTAACTATTATTACGATTTGTCTCCTCAAAGCTTGGTTCGGCCGCAAGTTTGAATTTACGGGAAGAAAACGTTGCGATAGTAGAATATCCTTCACGATACATCAGCAGTATTAGGCACATTGCGAGAAAAGCTACAACTTATTTGATTAATTATTGTTTGTAGTGAACAATCGTCAAATGAACAAAAATAAGACTGAATTGTAATTGACTGACTCGATACTGATCATATATGGAAACTTGAATTTCTCGAGAATTAAGTCCAAAAAAAATTCCTCTCTCTATAAAAAATAAATAAAAATTACTCGAATTAACGAAATTTTTCTTCAGTTTCAAACCGGTAAGAGTTTGAATGAATGCTAAATATTCAACAGTTCTCTATTTCCGGTTTATGCCCGCAGGTGTCCTCAGAACGGCTTAGGAAGCTTTATTTTATTTTGCAGAAAACAAAACACCGGCCGAAATTTCCTGGAAGATAAAGAGGCAGGGAAATGCAGTAGCATTTCTTTAGAGGAAATTAACGGTCGGCGCGTGTATACTGCAGCCAACACCCGCTTCAGTAAATGCGTTCAAAAATTTGCATACGAAAGAACACCGTGAGCATGATAGTTCGGACGTTCGAGGCTGAACTTAACGCGAATTACAGTTTAATTTCTTTCGTATTTCTGGGCTTCTTAAATTATCGTAAAATTTCAGTGCCGTAAGACCGTACTCTCCTCCATACAAAAATGGAGGAGAGTACATTCCTGAGATTTATATTGAAACTATGATAGAGAGACCACAAGTCACCAGGCAAAATAAATCAGATAAAGAAAATCAAGTCGAAATGTGCATGAAAACTACAAAAATGCAAAGTCGTCTATATAGGTTCGACGTTGAGCAATTCAACTTACCTTTTAACCTACCAGTGAAAATACCACTTATCATAAACATTTTACTGAATCAATAATTTCGCAATGAAATAACCGAAAAATAAATGCTGCGTAACATGTACATCAGTGGAAAAAATAAATCCTACTTGTTTCGTCAACCACTGAAGTTGAAGACAGGCAGTTAATGCTAGCAAAACTTATCACACAACGAGCTCATAAATTGATGTCGCATTCCTTTTGTAATTACGTTCAGTCTGATGGAGTTGTTATCTCAGGACAGTCTCGTTAATAGGAATGGCCTAGAGGCCGGCGAACGAGGCAATTTTTATAATTTCATCGAGGCAATTTGAACGTAACTGCGGAACTTTCTGCAACAAGAAAGGCGCTCAATGCAATATCGTGGAATTTTAGAAGGACGTCTGTAAAACACTTTCTGATACTCAGGATCTGGA